GGACCTTGTTCCCCACGTGTCTGCATAGCCAGCTCCCCCAGTTCCTTCGAGTCTTTGCTCAGGTGTACCTTCTGGTGAAGTACACTGGGAAGGCCTAATTAAAATAATGTCCCCTCTTACTCTGCTCTAGACCTTCCGCTATTCCATAGCACTCATCGCCTTAGACGGAGTCTACTCTTGAGTCTGTTATCTTGTGTCTCCTTACTTTACTCTAAGTCCTATGATCAGGGATCTCTGTTTTGTTTACTGATGTATTCAAAGTGCTGAGACCTTCTCTGACACATAGTAAAAGATCAATAAATACCTGTTAAATGAATATAGCATAAATTCTATGGTCTCCCAAACCCTCAGTCTTTTTTTTTTTTTTCAAAAATTTTAAAACATTTATTTATCTATCTTTTTATTTTTTGTGATTTTCAAGCTGCAGGTCCAGGACTGAGACCATGGTTGACCATGTGGGACTCCAGTGCCTTACTCACCACACCACTCACTGGTTCCTTTCAGTCCTGTTTTCCCCCATTCCCAAATACTATCTGCATCAATTTCCTCCCTAAGCCTGCAGAGCTCAAACAGTCTTAGATGCATGTCTCCTCTCTAATCCTGTAGTTCTTCCCACTTGTTCTGTAAAATCTAAATATTTCCCACGTCCTAACAGGACACCCACCACCCAGGAAGCCTTGTATAGCTCCCAGCCTCCGCTGGGCACCTTTCTCTCTGGTCAGCTGTGGCCTCAATGTTCTGCACCTCTCACAGCACACCCGGCACAGAACGCTTGGTGGTGGTTTTCGTTTTGCCATTTACCTATTTTTTTTTTTTTTTGGAGAGATTTTCACTGTAGGGCGCGTGCGTTCGCCAGACAGACAGAGAGAGACATAGAGACAGAAAGCGAGAAATCGCCCCCCAGGGGGGATGGTCACGCTGCAATCCCTTCTCCTCCATTCTCCTCTCGGGATCTTGGGCACGCACGCACACGCGCCCGGCGTGAGTTTTAAGCCACCGGGTCCGGGACACGAACCACGGTCGACTACGTGGGAGTCCAGCGACATAGCCATTACGCTAACTGCTGGTTCCCGCCATTTACCTATGTTTTGAACTCCTTACCAAAAAGGTAAACTCCTAAAGGAGGCTTATTCAGGAACCACCACGTGCTAAAACCTGGGGTGCTAGGGATTCCGACAGACATGCCTTCCATCAAGGGGAAGCTCACAACCTCCTGAAAAACTGAGACTAGCAAACAGACCATCAGACAATGAGCTGCATTACAGAAACTGGAACCGAGTGGGAAGCAGGAGGAGAGGACTTCCAGCACTGTCTGGAAGCTGTCCCAGAGGGGTCAGGATGTGAGCTGGGTCTCAGAACAGTTGCAGGTTTGCACGAGGAAAGGAATTACAAAGACATGGAGGTATGGATGGGCTGGTGGGTTCGGGGATCAGTGAGGGAGTTAATGTAGTCAGAAGGCTAGGCTTAGCTGAGGCTAAGGGGTGGGTCTGGGCCTTGTGAGCTATGCCAGGAGTGTGCAAATGGGTGGGCATCAGGGGTCAGTAGAGGACTTAAAGGAGGACAAGTTCTCTGTCTATAAACTGGGCAATGCACATGAATCATCTCATGAGGGTCTAGAAACTACGGTCTTTGAAGTTTTCTAAATATTGATTTCAAAAGAATCACTAGACAATAACAAATAAAATCAAACTTTCATAGTTAAGGAAATATTTTTGAAAATTATTCTTAAGTTGATTTGCTATTTTCCTATAAACTGGAAGAAGATTTTCATGTTAAGCATAGCTCTTATTTTTGATCTATAAAGTGGGGATAGTAATAATTATGAGATTCCTGCTTGCCCTCTTATTCTTTTCATGGTAGTTTTAATTCATTTTCCAGTTTATTTGTAGCTCCCGAGAGAGAGAGAGAGAGAGAGAGAGAGAGAGAGAGAGCGCGAGCGCACCCCAAGGGGTTTATTCCATGAACTGCCCCCAGATTCAGTAAGCTTAAGTCATGGGCATGTGTCCTGCCTGTACAGGGAAGCTTTGGGATGTGAACCTGGGACCTTCTCTTGAGGGTCCAGCATCTTAAGAGTTGTGCCTCTGGCTGGTGCAAATTCTGTTTTTTCTGTTCTTTCCTTTTACAAATAGGATATTCTGTTGTATTACCCAACTCCCCCCCCCCATTTTTTTTAAATGCTAGAAAGTACATGTGAGAGAAGAGAGAAAGAGAGAGAGAGAGAGAGAGAAAGCAAGAAAGACCCCCCTCTCATCCTCCAAGGGAGAAGGCCCCCACAGGCTAACTGCAGTTCAATCCTGGCTCCTGAAGCTTGAAAAACATGCTGGGCACATGAGCACACCTTCCCAGAATCCTGACAGGATGGAGAAATGGAGGAGAAAAGACTATGGCATGGCCATGCCCCACTGGGGGTGGGGGGGGTGTTTTCTCCTACTCTGTTTCTTTGTCTCTCTCTGGAGAAGCCTATGCCCTCTAGCAAAAAGACAAAATGGCCCCCTAGGGGTGAGGCTGGTCATGCCATAATCACTTTTTCCTTCTATTTTCCATCCCATCTGGATCTCGGGCACATGCATACCCGGCATGTTTTTACAAGTTGCTGGGGCTGGGACTTGAACCCTGGTTGACCATGTGGGAGTTGGCTTCCACTGCTTAACCACTGGAGACAGCCTTATCCAATTGCTCTTCTACCTCTGTATTGGATATGGGATCTTGTAGATAATAGACAATCTTGTTAGCTATTTGTAAGACCATCAAGGGTGTCATCTAGACCTACGTACCAGAGAGCCTAGATTTTGCACTGGTTGTAATGATGGAAACAAAACTGCTTTATTAAACTGCATTTTAGTTGGACACATTTTCCAGCTTCCTTTTTGAGTATTTATGGGTAGGCATGCAGTGACTGAGTGCAGCCAATGAATGGAAGTGATGCGTGCACAGCCCTGTCCCCAGGATTTATTCTAGGAGTAAATGTGAGTATTTTCTGGTTTAAGAATCAGAAATTGATCTGAGTTCAATTTATTTCTGTCTCTATTTTTTAAGAGTTTGTTTCTATCTATCCCCTTTAGAAAATAGAAATCTAGCCTTCAAAGAAAAGTCCTATGTCCAACATGATGAAAGAAACCGAAGACCTTTCAGATCTACCTATGGAAGTCTCCGTCCCTGTATTTACCTGTTATAGGAGCTTGTGGCTCTCCAGAGTTGATAGGGAGAATCAAAAGTCTGAGCACTCCACAATAGCTGCAGGTCGAATTCAATGCCTCCTAGGTGGTCTGGAGTCAGGATGAAAGATTTCACATCTGGGAGAGTGTGGTGCTCCATCACAAACTGACCTATTTCAAGGGTAAACACACTCTTATTTGTGGGTTTTATTGTACTTGCAGTGAAAGCCCTATAAAAGTCTAAGAACTGAATTAATGTTCTTCTATCAAACAACTAAGGTTATACCCTTGTGGCCCTTAGACTATACTCTACACTGGTTGGAAAAGCACGGCATTGCCTACCGGCTTGTGATCCTACTTGTGATGGTCCCTATGGTTATAGAAACTTATAAACCATACAAATATGTTTTGTGGAAACAGTGGTGCATGGCATATACTTAGATCTCAATTCTTTTTTTTTTTTTTTTTGAAGAGGTTTTTGCCTTAGGGCGTGTGCACTTGCTGGAGAGAGAGAATCAGAGACAGTGAGAGGGAAAGTAAGAAATTACCCCCTTCCCAGGGGACGGCCATGCTGCAATCCCTTCTCCCCCTTTCTCTTCCTGGGATCTTGGGTCCAGGACTCGAACCGCGGTTAGCCATATGGGAGTCTAGTGAAATAACAGCTATGCTAGTCTCTTAGCTCTGAATTATACCCAACATATTTCTTGCAGATATAAAGGTCTCAGGTCTCAGATGTTTGTATAAAAGTATCAATGTTGGATAAAAATCACATTTGGGGCTATCCAAATGTTTGGTGGAGGGAAACAATTGTAAACATCATTTAAAAAAGTAATGAGTACTGGGCAAGACAACACCACTCTTTAAAACTGCAGTGATACAATGTTATGGATAAACAAAAGTAGGGGAGACTATTCTAGATTAAAAGAAATGAAAAGAGCTACAACAACCCACATGTAACATACAAATCATGATGGGATCCTCTTTCCTTTTATACAAAGAGACATAAAATAATATAAATAAACATGGAAACAGTGGAAAAGCCAAGTGTGGGACAGTAGAGGAAATATGAATAGGGGCTGGATACCTTGGACATGATAATGGTATCACAAAAGAATGGCCTTGTTCTTAGGAGAGGTCTACTGAAGTATTTAGGAAAGCAGGACATGAGGGCTGCAACTTGTTTGTAAATGATGTGATCCAAAAACAAAACAAATCAAAACAAAACAAAAGGTATCTATGCGTGTATATGTACATATACATAGTCAAATGTTAACAATTGTCTGGGACCAGCAGATGGCATAATGGTTACATCGCTGGACTCCCATGTAGTTGACCTTGGTTTGAATCCCAGACCTGGCAGCTTAAAATTCATGCTGGGCGTGTGTGTGTGTGTGTGTGTGTGTGTATGTGTGTGCCCAAGATCCTGAGAGGAGAATCCCCCCGGGGGCTGATTTCTTGCTTTCCGTCTCTCTGACAAGCACATGAGTCCTAAAGCAAAAATCTCTCTCAAAAACAAAACAAAACACAAAAACAAAAACAGTTTTTGACTTTGCTTTTTATTTTTCTCTTTTTTCAACTTTTCTGTGTGCTTACCACGTGTGTTATACAAAGCTGGGGAAAAGCAGCACTGGCATTACCTCTGAATTTGGCATGGGTCTTGAATTCAATGACGAGACGGCCGTCCTCTCGAATGTAGATCCTTATTATCTGAAGCCTTGCGGAGAGCACGCTGTCCGTCTGGATTCCTGGGGAGGCAACAACACACAAAGCTCCCAAGTTAGGGCATGGGGGGACCCCCCCAGGCAGTGACCTACAGGTAGTTCCCAGGGCCATCTCTAACTAGAGCTGTACACCTATTCAACGGTAACTTAGCAGAAACTTTCTATATTCACATGAGCACCAACTCCATAGACACATTTGCCAATTACAATGGTGTGACAGCTCATTCCCCTTGGCCCCTTTTTATAGGTGTGCTGTCTTTGACACAGACTTTACATACTTGTTAGGACCACTCGGTACAGATACCCATAGTTCAGAAACAAAATGGTTCTTAAAAAACATATTATTATGTTTTCACATAGTCCACCCTTGCTTCATACTGCACTTTCTCTTCCTTCCAGGATACCTTCCAGGACTTAGCCCTAAACAAAGTTCTGGTGGCTACATTTAGTACTCAAGCCAATGGAGAACTGAAGGGAAGCTCGTCTCGGAAGGCCGGCTATACATGGCATACCGTGAGTAAGCGTGACTTTAATAAAGGTGAGTGCAGTCATGATCCCAGTGAGGTCAGAATGATCAAAGACTAAAGGGTAATCAAAGGAGGAGAAAAAAAAAGTTTGAAAGACAAAATGAACCAGAAACCAAAACTTGAATTGACCCAGGGTGGGTAAACTTCCTTAACTTCCCTTCCTATGAGAAATATAAAGCAAATAAATGATTTGAGCTTAAGCCATTTAATAGCAGAAAGGACTACTTTCAATAGTTAGATATGAAGCCCTGTCTAAAGAAAATTCCTGTAGCTTTTCTGTGTCTCTGTGTCAGATAAAGCACATCCCCAGAAAGGGAAAAAAGGGAGGGAAGCAGTAGAAATAAGTGAGCGGCGACCACCAGATGGCGCAGTGGTTACATCACTGGACTCCCACATGGCCAACCATGGTTTAAGTCTCAAACCTGTTAGCTTGAAACTCACGCCAGGTGCGCATGCATGCCCAAAATCCCAAGAGGAGAATGTGGAGAAGGGATTGCAGCAAGGCCATCCCCCCAAGGGGTGACTTCTTGTTTTCTGTCTCGCTGGTGAACACATGTACCCTATGGCAAAATTCTCTCTCTAAAAAAAGAAGTAAAGGAGAGGGGTTGTGGATAATGTTTGATGTATAAGACACTGAAAATGGTAGAAAATAAGCAAAGTACAACAGAAATAACCGAGACTAACTGGAGTGAATGAAGGAAAGAATCAGAGAGTTTAAAGGGACATCTATACCCATTCTGATGGGTAGAAAATAAGCAAAGTACAACAGAAATAACTGAGACTCACTGGAATGAATGAAGGAAAGAATCAGTGGGAGAAGCTGGGGGGCATGGGGTAGGAGTGGGGTGTGTGCTCCCAGCTGAGGAACTGCCTTCAGTCCAGTTGCTGGGGCCACTCTCAAAGAGGGTAGGAATGGAGACAAGCCTTAGGGAGATCATTTTCAAAATTTAGCATTATAGGGACCAGCAGTTAATGTAATGGCTATGTCGCTGGACTCCCACGTAGTCAGCCGCCGTTTGTGACCCGGGCCCAGTAGCTTAAACTCACACCTGGGGCGTGTGGCTGCGTGCCCAAGAGGAGAATAGAGAAGGGATTGCGGTGTGGCCATCCCCCCTAGGGGGTGATTTCTCGCTTTCTGTCTGTCTCTGTCTGTCTGACGAGAGCACGCGCCCTATAGCAAAAACCTCTAAAAAAAAAAAAATTAGTATTACAGTTTGTGAGGTTCCAAAGGTTAAAAAAAAAAAAATCCCCTCTTTTTTTTTTTTAAGTTTATTTATTTCTCTCATGAGAGAGAGACATATTTAAATACACACGTTCCTTTAACAGAGTCTCACCACACTAAGACCCTCATCCCTCCACCTACAACCAGCTAACATTGAGGAGTGCCTGGTATGTTCAGGCTGACCAGGATCTGAACTTGGGGCCTTCTGATATGACTTCAGTATTGCACAGTGGTACCCCGCCACCTGTGCCACTTCTGCTAGGCTAAGATTCCTACTTCTGAGAGTGTGATGAAAGAGCAAACACCGTGTCAAATGAATAAAGCAGGACACCTGATGTATTTTCCCACGTCCATGCATCTGATTTAAACACGCTCTTGCTTCTGAAGCAACATGAATCACTCCATTTTTAACTAGGAGGAAACAAACATGATTATACTTCCAAACCCCACATGCCTCTGAATCATCACTGGGCAGATAGGACCCATCTATCACCTGCCATTCTCTCTACTCTGGCTCTGGCTGTCTGGGCTGAGGCCTTTCAACGCCAGCATCTGTGGATTTGGTTCTTTTTCAGGAACTGCAGACCGTACACGCTGCAGATTTGAAGTGACCCTCCTCTGGCTGTCTGCAGGACAATAGGACTTGGGATGCAGCTACTGGTACAAGTCACTACTGGTTTTTCCTTTTCGTCTTGCTCCAGTATAAGGTAGGGATATTTCGGATGTCAGCGTGCATACCTGTCCTCCAGAGAACGGTGTCATAGAAGAAGGAAAACTCCATCTCGGTGTGGTGCTCCAAGGAGGCCCAGCCGCGGGGGGCCGTGACGTAGATGTAGGACACGTACAGGGGCACGTGCACTGTCAAGAATGACTGAGCCGAGTCTCGCACCTGCCAAGGGCATGGTGTGCGAACAGAGTTAGTTCTTTCCCGGGATGATGGGCCTGCGATGCTCACATCTTGGTTTGATTTCATTCACACATTTAGACACTCATCCATTCAGTAATGATTAATTAGGAGCCTTTGTCTGCTCTTTGTTTTTCAGAAATTAAAGTAAATAAGGAGGTAAGAAGTAGCCAGCATGCTTTTTTTGAGAGGTTTTTTTTGCTACAGAGTGAGTGTGCTTGCCAGAAAGAGACAGAGAGACAGAAAGTGAGAAATCACCCCCCCCAGGGGGGATGGCCACGCTGCAATCCCTTCTCCTCCATTCTTGGGCACATATGCCACACTGCAATCCCTTCTCCTTCATTCTTGGGCACATACGCACACGCGCCCGTCATGAATTTTAAGCCACCAGGTCTGGGACTCCAACTGCGGTCGACTACATGGGAGTTCAGCGACATAGCCATTGTGCTAACTGCTGGTCCCACCAGCATGCATTTTTAGATAGGGTGATCTAAGAAGGTGTTCCGGAGGATGTGACACTTGTTCAAAAACACTTTCAAAAAGTGAGAATGAGCTTTTCTCCCATTCTTCAGCTGCTAGAACTCTTGGCTGAAATTTGAAATGTGGGGGATCTGGGAGCCTCTCCCTCAGCTGACTGTTGGCCAGGGACTGGTAGGAAAGGCTGAATTAACCTTATTGGAAGAGGCCCATGTCTGGCCCCCGGGGATGAACAGCGCCTGACCCTTCTGCTCCAGGAACAAAGGTCAAGGGTTTTGGATGTCAACGTCACCTCTGAGAAGCTCTCCAATAGGCAGCTCGGAGGACATTGTATACTTCAATAACATCCTGTCCCTGCGATGCTTCAGTGAGATGACCTTGAAAAGGCAGCACATCATCCTTCCCAGAGAACAGTAACTCTAAGGGGTTCCTGTCACTGACATTGATCGGGCTCAATAATTCTTATTTTATTACACAGTGAACAGAAACTGGATGGAAAGGTAACAAAATATTAACAGAAGCTTTTGTGGAAAAGCTAATGGTGTATATGTATGTGAAGGGGGTTGGTTTATTTATTCTTTCTGAATCTTAAAAAATATTTTATTCCTTAAACATACTTCTTTTGAAACAAATAGACAGACATACATAAGCCTAGTTGAAGGCGATTTGATTTTGGCATAGGAAATACTATAATATACTATGGGGCTTATATCATTTTCTGCTTGAAAATAGTGTAAAGTATTTATCCATAATTACGGAAAAAGAACTTGTTGTTTTATCGACATTTAAGATATCAAACATTTTATTTTTATTAGGTGTTTTTTCATATTCAAAGTTGCTAGGGATTTAAAAATTGATGCCAACTTTTTAAAAAGAAAACTAATTCCATAGTGACTTAAAAAATCCCTTTTTGGGGACTGGCAGTTGGCGTAATGGCTATGTCACTGGACTCCCAAGTAGTTGACCATGGTTTGAGTCCCAGACCCAGTGGCTTAAACTCATGCCAAGTGTGTGTGCGTGCATGCCCAAGATCCCAAGAGAGTGGAGGAGAAGGGGTGACCATCCCCCCCGGGGGGGTGATTTCTTGCTTTCTGTCTCTCTGTCTCTCTTTGTCCTTCTTATGAGCGCATCCACCCTATAGCCAAAACCTCTCCAAAAAAAAGTCCCTTTTTGTCATCCTTATTCTGTTTTCTTCAGAAAAATTCCAAACCTCCTCTGGACTTCACATCATCTTCTGTCCCTTAACATACAGATTTTGTTAAATATACTTGCTCCATCTCACAATTATTGATTTATAACCTCAATAAATTCTTGGCAAAATTAGTTTTTCTTTTTTTTTTTTGGTTTCTATTTATTTTCCTTTTGCCCCCATAATGTTGCTTATACACTTATAAAAAGAAAACAAAGCCCCTGACAAATATTTACTGCATACTTATTTTATGCCAGATACTGCACTAGGTACTTTCCCATGTTGAGATTATTAGTCACGATCTCAGATGAGGTTCTTCAGAGAGGTTTTTATCTCATGCAAGTCTGTTGATGCTCCATAAAGAAAGATATGAACCTGAGCTTGGTTCTAATTTGTTTCTTATTTCTGCCACTTATTAGTGGCTTCACTTATTTTTAAAGAAACAGACAACAGGGCCAGAAGGTGGTATGGTGGTGAAGATGCTAGATCCCATATACCTAACTCTGTGGTTTAAGTCCCAGAACCGGCAACTTGAAAAACATGCCAGGTGTGAGTGTGTGTGTGTGTGTGTGTGTGTGTGTGTGTGTGTATCCAAAACCCCAAGAAGAGAATGGAGGAGAAGGGATTGCGGCATGACCATTCTCTCTGGGGAGTGATTTCTCACTTTCCCTCTCTTTCTCTTTCTGGAGAGAGCATGTGTCTTAAAGCAAAAACTTAAAAGCAACAACAACAAAACAGACAACAACATACTTCTTCTGAGCATATATTTTTCCTGTGTTGGTTTACGATGTGGGTCATACGTAATAAATCCTTGTCTTTGCAGTTATCAAGCATATTCTGAACAAAAATATCCAAAAATATAACTGAAGTAAAATCCCACAGAGTAGAGAGCATACTTTTTGAGGGACCAAGAGAGAAATAAATCACGTAGTTTTGCATTTTTTGAAGTGACTGTAGATTGTGCAATCACAGAAACAGGAACCAAACCTAAGAATACCGTACGAGTATTCAGCAGAGGGCAGTAGTGTATATGAAATGAGAGGAAACCAAATGAGAGGCATCACAAAGAGAAATGAAACAGATTTTAATCAAAGATACTTCCCCTAAAATGAGAACTCTAAGTCCCTCTACAAGTTCCCACCGTCAGTGGGGTTATACATGACTTGAAATGAACGCACGTGAGAATGAGAGAAAGAGAAGAGCTCGATCTCTACCCCCATAGAGCCTGGTTACACCACGATCCTCGATCCTCTTCCTCGAGTTTTCTAACTTGCCAAGATCCTGGGCACATGCACATTGGCCTGTTTCAGGCTGATTAGACTAGGGACTTGAACTGCCATCAATACGTGGCTTCTAGCTTTATGGTCCAGAATGTTACCAACTGTACCACAGAGCTTGGGCTGGTGATGATTTTAGAAAGTGTATTTTTATAGGAGCTGTCCATTTGGAATAGATATGAAATCAAAGAGCCTTAAGCAATTATGTCTCTGCAGTCCTTCGGACAACAGTGCTCTTATTTCTGAAAGACGGTGTGCCCCGCCTGCCATTCCAACTCATTTCCCAGGTGCAGAAGAGAATGCTTCTCCATAATAATTACCCTACCATCAAATGTCAATCTTTTTGGCTCTCCAAAATACATTCCAAGATGAAAATCACCCAGAGAAGTAAACATTGGGTGTTTACGTAAGTGATTCTTCCAGACAGTAATTTCTCCCCCACATTTACATGCTTTAGAGGACTTTAGGGGCTTTCTCTTGTCACAATGCTAAGACCTTGCTTGAGGGACTTATAAAGAGGTTTCCTAGGGAGCCAGGAGATGGCATAATGGTCATGTCGCTAGACTCCCACATAGTCAACTGCAGTTCTAGTCCAGGACCTGGTGGATTAAAACTCATGCCGGGTGCGTGTACGTTCATGCCCCCTATCCCAGGAGGGGAATAGAGAAGAAGGGACTGTGGCATGGCCATTCCTCCTTGGGGTGATTTCTTACTTTCTGTCTGTCTGTCTCTGTCTCTCCAGTGAGTGCATGTGCCCTATAGCAAAAATCTCTCTTAAAAAAGAAAAAAAAAGTCTCGCTTAGTGGACTTGACCAGCTCTGGATGCAAAGTGTTAACTGAAGTGCTTCAGAAAAGAAGAAGGTTGGGCCCAGTCCCAAGTCAGCACAGCCTCCAGACAACCTCCTAGGCACCCACCTGGAAGTCAGCAGTGACAGAACCCCCACAGACGTCAATCAGCTCGGTCATGTCATAATAGGCATCAAAGGTCCACACGCAGCTCTTCAGGTTCAGGTGTTTGTAGAGTTGGATGGTCTTTGGCTCCCGCACGCTGGGGTCAAATTGGAAGGGGCGGTCATAGCCAGGGCCCAGGGCAGCGCTGTCATGGACCATGTCATCCAGGAACCCTGCCTCTGCAAGGAGGGGAGGAACAAAGAAAGTAACTGAGTCTGCAGATGCCCAGAAGCTGGGGGAGGAGGGGCAATCCTGTCGACACTGAGAGAGTTCTCTGTCCATCAGAGAGGCTCCCTGAACAGAACAGACTGGGGCTCCCAACGACACTAAGACTGGACCGGGAGCTTGTAAAGGGATGGGGAATGCCTGGTGCCAAGTGTTGAACAGAGGACTCCTCCTCTAAGAGCCTGCAGCCATGGGAAGAACAGGCAAACGAATGATGGCAGGGACAAAGGAGACAGAACTTGGAAAAGAACACATGGTGGCTTTGCCTGTCACACCTGGCGAATCTGAGCTTGCCGTGTTTCATAATCAGCCCTAAAAAACAGATTTCCTGTATGGATCATTCGCAGATAAATTATTTTATATATATAATATATAATATATATATATTATTTTTTGCCATAGGGCAAGTATGCTTGCCAGAGAGATAGAGACAGAGAAAGCAGGAAAGTGAGAAATCACATCCCGGGGAGGTTAGCCATGCCAAATTCCCTTCTCTGTGCATTAACCCCACACCACCTGATAGAGACAAATTAAGATTTTTGAAGACTAATTTTTAAAAAAGCTTCTGTGGCACACCAGAAAACTAACATCTGACTACCTCTCTCCCCTCCTATGGTTTCTGAACTGTTGGAAAAAATGTCTTAATTTTGTGTTAATGAGTAAACAGCTCACTAATGATGCTTGACTAAACCTCACCTGCTGCAGGCAAAAATTACTGAATCAAATGCTGCCAAGCAAGTGAACGGTTTTAAATTAAGAAAAACCTTTATGCAGCAGAGAACTAAATACAGATACAATTTTATAAAATAAGGACCACATTTTGTTTGTAGACTATGGATTTTTTTTGAGAGTTTTTTTTTCTATAAGTTGTGTGCACTTGACAGAAAGACAGAGATAGAGAGACAGAAAGTGAGAAATCACCTCCCAGGGGGGATGGCCACACCACAATCCCTTCTCCTCCATTTTCCTCTTGGGATCTTGGGCACACACTCACATGTGCCCGGTGTGAGTTTAAGCTACTGTGTCTGGGACTCAGATTGTATTAGACTACATGGGAGTCCAGCGACATAGCCATTACACCACTGCTGGTCCCATAGACTATGGATTTTAAAGAGTGCATTTCTAAGAAGACTTGACACAAGCAATCAGCCCCCTGCTTCAACAGGACTAGGTACTCAGTGAACATGTCTTGAATTTGTTTTTAAGTACTGGAGGAGGTGCAAAGTTTCAGTCTTTAAACACAGTGTGTTTCTTTCACTAGCTTCTATGTGGACCAATTCAACTTCCATGTGACTCAATGATTTAATAATTTACACTCAACCAATTTCCACTGTATAAAGACCTTCACCACCAAAAGTGATGCTTAACGTATATGGAAGCGCACATGAATGCATTTCTGTCTGCAAAAACACTGTTAAATGATTCATCGGTGGTGAAGGGAGGAAATACGCATTTAATGTATGCTTGTGAAGGTCAATGGAAATGGACAGGTTCTGCATACAGTCAAAGGTCCACCGTGGTGCACACAGCACGGAGATGCACTGGCTCGGCTGGGAACCCTCAGGCCTCTGTCAGCCGCAGGGCAGCTCAGCCAGGGTCACGATCTTGCTGGGACAGACCACCTCTAGTGACCCAGTCGGTGGGCTGCAAAGGTCTGGCCATTTTGGTCGGAAGCAAGTCAAGTCTCTCCAGAGCTCCCCACCCTACACGGCAGTGAGACTTCTTCCTCTGCCCAATTCTGCTCCCCAGCTTCTCTTTAACAGGTGAGGTCCCCTGATATACACCTCACACCCCAAACTCCAGTTTAGCACCTGCTCCTGGGAAAAAAACCCATCTTATAACATTTGTTATGATTTAGATAATGGTTCGTCACCTGTGGTTCATGTTTCAGAATTTCACTTTGGTGGGCAGTGACTGGATGGATGTTTTCCAAAAGTTTGTGTGTCGGGATTTGGCTATCTTGTAAAGGTATTCAGTGAAAATGTAATCCCTTCATGGTGTTCTGGGGTGGGCAGGGCCATTGGGTGTGGTAAAGTCGTTAGGGTGGGGCCCACGGTTCAGTTCTGGTGTGAATATAAGGAAAGGAGAATGAGTCCAGCAGACATCACTCACATGGATACAGACTCCGTTCCACTTTGCTCAAAGGTCTGCTTTCCACTGACTTGTGATGCCGTGGATTTGCCAGCCACCAGAATTGTGAGTCAATAAATCTGTTTCCTTACAAATCATCCAGCCTCAGGTAGTTATGTTAGCAATGCAATAATGGACTACGATGACATCTGCCATCTGTATATCAGCTTTCTAAACTTGAGACTCTCACGGGATTTGTGAGATTCAAATATGTTGACCACAGGGGAAAGGAACTAACTGAAGTTTACCATTGGTCAGTGCTTTAAAAATGTCAAGGCATTTGAGACCAGCAGTTAGCGTAATGGCTATGTTGCTGGACTCCCACGTAGTTGACCGCGGTTCGAGTCCTGGACCCGGTGGCTTAAACTCATGCCAGGTGCGTGTGTGTGCATGCCCAAGATCCTGAGAGGAGAATGGAGGAGAAGGGACTGTGGCGTGGTCATCCCCCCTGGGGGGTGATTTCTCGCTTTCTGCCTCTCTGTCTCTCTCTGTCTGTCTGGTGAGCACACGCGCCCTATAGCAAAAACCTCTCCAAAAAAAGAAAAAAAAAATGTCAAGGCATTTAATCCTCATTGGTAGTAATAGCTGTCGTCCTGTTAGAGATAAGCAAATAGAGATAAGCTATTTTTGTTTAATTGTACAGGTAGTGGAGTAAGGATTTAAGTCCAAGTCAATTTGACAACAAAGTCCTTGTCTTTTTCCCTGTTCACTTTATTGTCTGTACTACGATGTTTGGAAGTTTGCTAGAAAGAAATACTATGAATATGCAGATTTTGAGGACCAGAAAGGCAGAGATCTCCTCACTCAGCTGCCTCCTGACAGTCACGGCGCGGGGCTGGCGTGAGAAGGCTAGCCCATAGCCCGTGCCTCACCTGAGATGCCTCTCAGGTCGTGGGTGGTGACTAAATTGGAGCAGACATGCTGGTGTCTGTAGATGGACTCTGATAACAGAAAATGCAGGTTGTGCAACGGCATGGTGGAGATGAGTGGCAGCATTCCATCCTGGTGTGGGATCTGCACCGAAATGTGGATTCTAGGGGGAATGGGCAGAAACACAGGTCAGCTGCATATTAGAAACAGTCAACAGTCAAACAAATGTCTTTCTCATCAGCTAATTGTTTCCACCTATCAATTTACCAGTTTTTACCCTGTTATTTTTCCAGGTAGGCTTTCTATTTGAATGTGAGGATGTAGATATTTTTAGGGTTGTTTTCCTGCCTACGAGATCTTCTAGACCCAGGACTGACAACAATCAGGAAGCATAGGTTTTTGATTTTTCCCCCCTCTTACAAGAAAAGACAGCATCACACCCACAAATTACTTTAAGGCTTCCTTTTGCTTTAAATGGAAACTTAGTTTCTTTAGGAACTCAAGGTGAGTGACTGGTTCAGGTACTGCTTCCCTGCTATGCCACAAGTGAAAGTGGCACATGGTTGACAAGCACATGTTTTAAGTATTGATCTAACTCCCAAAGATATCACTGAGCTCTTGAACTCGGAGGCCAATTTCCTCACCTAGCCAGTTATCTTAAAAATAACGAGGTCCAGAGGCCAACAGTTAAAAACCTCTCCAAAAAAAGAAAAAAAAAATGTCAAGGCATTTAATCCTCATTGGTAGTAATAGCTGTCGTCCTGTTAGAGATAAGCAAATAGAGATAAGCTATTTTTGTTTAATTGTACAGGTAGTGGAGTAAGGATTTAAGTCCAAGTCAATTTGACAACAAAGTCCTTGTCTTTTTCCCTGTTCACTTTATTGTCTGTACTACGATGTTTGGAAGTTTGCTAGAAAGAAATACTATGAATATGCAGATTTTGAGGACCAGAAAGGCAGAGATCTCCTCACTCAGCTGCCTCCTGACAGTCACGGCGCGGGGCTGGCGTGAGAAGGCTAGCCCATAGCCCGTGCCTCACCTGAGATGCCTCTCAGGTCGTGGGTGGTGACTAAATTGGAGCAGACATGCTGGTGTCTGTAGATGGACTCTGATAACAGAAAATGCAGGTTGTGCAACGGCATGGTGGAGATGAGTGGCAGCATTCCATCCTGGTGTGGGATCTGCACCGAAATGTGGATTCTAGGGGGAATGGGCAGAAACACAGGTCAGCTGCATATTAGAAACAGTCAACAGTCAAACAAATGTCTTTCTCATCAGCTAATTGTTTCCACCTATCAATTTACCAGTTTTTACCCTGTTATTTTTCCAGGTAGGCTTTCTATTTGAATGTGAGGATGTAGATGTTTTTAGGGTTGTTTTCCTGCCTACGAGATCTTCTAGACCCAGGACTGACAACAATCAGGAAGCATAGGTTTTTGATTTTTCCCCTCTCTTACAAGAAAAGACAGCATCACACCCACAAATTACTTTAAGGCTTCCTTTTGCTTTAAATGGAAACTTAGTTTCTTTAGGAACTCAAGGTGAGTGACTGGTTCAGGTACTGCTTCCCTGCTATGCCACAAGTGAAAGTGGCACATGGTTGACAAGCACATGTTTTAAGTATTGATCTAACTCCCAAAGATATCACTGAGCTCTTGAACTCGGAGGCCAATTTCCTCACCTAGCCAGTTATCTTAAAAATAACGAGGTCCAGAGGCCAACAGTTGGCATAGTGGTTGGGGTGCTGGATTCCCACAAGATGGACTGTGGTTTGAGTCCCAGATGCAGTGGCTTAAAACTCATGTCGTATATGTGTGTGCGCACGCCCAAGATCCCAAGAAGAGAAGGGACTGCAGCATGGCTCACCCCTCTGGAGGGCGATTTCTCTCTTTCTCCCTCTCTGTCTCTCCAGGGAGCATATGCACCCTATAGCAAAAATATCTATTTAAAAATAAGTAACATAATCCCACTATTCATCCCATGTTTCCCCAGAAGGCCCCTAGGATCTGCACATTTTTGCTACAGATCCCATGGCATTCTCTTGCCCTCATCGCTCAGTCCCACCCACAGCCATCAGGCCCTCACCAGTCTCAACCTGCAGTGTGCTGTCCCTCCACCTACATTCCTCAGCACCAAGGTAGCCCAGGCACCAGCAAATCTGTGGTTTATTTATATTAGCTGCTATTTCTTGCATGTTTCCAGACTCTGTTTATCTTGCCTCCCCACTAGAAGAGTAAGAACCATTTTCCTGACTTCTTTTGTCTCTCTAGTGCATGTAGTACACAATTCAAATAAAATATGAGTTTAATAAATACTGGTTAAGACTGCGACACAACAGGACTGTACTTACAGGCTGCATTTTTTTATTGTACACATTTAAATTTTCAGCATGTTTATTGAGGGTGTGTTTTGAGTTTATAAGAGCTTGTTTTTCTGAGCAAAGCACCACATTTCAGAGAGGAACCAGAGCTTTGAATGAGCAGAGGATGGTCTCTGCTGGAGGCCATTAGTGCCTTTCTGTCAGTAGTGGGCACTTCTGCTATTGTTCTTTTTGGAAAAAAAAATGAAAAATCCACCAAGTTTGATTGTTTATGGGGGGATAAGCAAGAGGGAGAGAGAGACTGATTTTTTTTTTTTTGAGAGAGATTTTTGCTATAGGGTGTGTGTGCTTGTCAGAGACAGAGAGAGACAGAAAGTGAGAACTCATCCCCATGGAAAATGCCCACACTGCAATCCCTTCTCCTCCATTCTCCTCTCAGGATTTTGGGCACGTATGCACACACACCCAGCGTGAGTTTCAAGCTGCCAGGTCTGGGATCCGAACCATAGTTAGCTACATGGGAGTCCAGCAACATTAAATGTGATGTCATCTGCTGATCCTGAGAGACTGATTTTTGACAGGGTCTTTCCAAACTGAGATCCTCTTGTCCCAGGCAGTGAAGACTACTGGTGCATGTCACCACCTCCAGACTGTTTAGGTTGCCCAGAAGCTGAACCCAGCCCTTCCCTACAGCCTTAGCCTCTGAGTAGCAGTGTCTTAGTGGCATGAGCCAGTGATGGAGCTTTTGATTACTCTTTAACAAAAATAAATTTTATTATTTCAGAAAAAAAAGAAGGGGATGCATGTTCTTCGCTCATATTCAAACCTGTTTTATTTTTTCCATGCAAAGGAACCCGTTTCTATGAACTCAGTGCATAAAGGCACACGTTTAAATACTGTGAGGTTTAATGACTATGTAGGGTGTGCATGAATTCCCTTTTGCTACACAAAAATAAAAATATGAACTTCCACAGAATCATGATGGTACAAGAATAAAATAAGCCTGTGACTAATAGTTTATAGAGTGCTATTACTCATTTGCTCAGTAGGCATGTAGTGAGTACTCTCTGGTGCCAAGAAACCCTAGGCTAAGTAAAGGAGATGCAAAATAAGTAACTATGGTCCTTGCCCTTCAGGTCTCACCGTCCACTCTGGGGACAGAGAAAATAAATGACAATAATGCTCTGAAAGTGGCGTATGTGGGTGCCAGAGAGCCAGGAGGAGGGGTCTCCTAATTAAATTGGGGGATATGCTGGGAATGTCCCCAAAAGAGATGCCATGAGTGAGGTCTTGTAGGACAGCAGGATTTAACCACTGTGAAAGGGAGGGGTGCTGAGAGTTGGAGTCAGGGTAACAGCAGGTAGAAAGCTGCAAGCTGAGTCTGAAGGCCTTGGGAAGTCATATATCCTTCTCCATGGGCGGACCAGCAGGGAAACGACAAGGTGAGGGAGATGAGCTTAGGAAGACAGGCAGGGGGTAAGATCTTGAGGGGACTTGGGAGAATTAAGATTTTTCTTGAGGCCTTTATCCTTACTATTTTTATTTTGCAGAAGCATCATTCATAGATCCAGCCTACCTGGAGGACATACCAAGGACAGCTGAGACTCCCTCCAGCCTCTCACAAAGGAGGGCACCCCTGACTGACCTGTTCGGATGCTCCTTGTGCTTGACATCCAGGTATTTCAAGGTTGCGATGAAGGACTGAGCCTGGAAGCCTCTGGCTGTCCCAGCCACCACTGGGGTGTGGCAGATAGCACTATCTGTTCCGATGGTAACAATGTTGCTCCTGAGGGGCGTCCCCACATGGCCCACCTTGTCCACGGCCTTTGCCACACAACGCACATGGAACCTCCGGCTGAAGTAAATGCTGTCCAGGACCTGCCAGGAAGAGCAAAGAACGTCAGATAACAGGCTATGTAAACAGATCCTCCCACTGTGTCTTCTGGAGGAAATGACACAAGCCTGTGATACAAGGTAATCGTGATGGCTATCTATCCACTCATCTGATGATCTGTCTATTTATTTGTTAATTCATCACATAATTATTGACTTTGGACCATAAAGCAGGTACAAGGGACTGAGCAGTGAGTACTTCCAGCCTAAGTGGGTAAGACAGACAATGAGCAAGTAGACAGATGGGGAGCAAGAGCCCAAAGATAACTGGGACTAACGTACTGTTTTATTTTTATACACAAGGTTCAGACTAAGGACTACCCAACTGTTTTTCAGGCCTTCCAGCAAGACGAGTTGGAGTCCAAGTCACTGTTGCCAGGAGCAGGCTGAAAGGATCCAGAGGAGCAATGCCTCTTTCCCCATAGTTCTATTTCCTTTTCCTTCCTACTGACTCCCCCAGCCCCTCCCAATGGCCTCACACACTATAAGGGTTACAGTAACATGCAGCCTTGACCCTGAGAACTTGGCCTCTGACACTCCTGCCCATTGAAGGTCTTCCTACAGGTTCTTTCAGGTTTCTAGCCATACAGAAGCTATAGGAGTGCTTAACTCAGTCTATACAGAGGAAATGTAGGGCAGGACTCCTTAGATTGCCTGTGCATATACACAATAAAGGACATGTAAGAACAATTAACTAGTAGTTCTGTGTCCCATAGACTTCCCCCAAAGCAATCGTACAAATGTATAAATTCGACCCATGAAAATAATTTTCACTGAAGTCTATTAAAAATTAAAGATGATTTTCCCATTAAACTTTTTGTTAATTACTTGCCAATGATTTATTTATTTATTTAAACATGGACTTAGTCCAGAAGGGATTTGAGGCATCCTACAAAAATGCATATAATACAATGGTATTAAATAAATAATGGAGGAAATAAAGACAAAGCACAAGAAAGTGAAATACAGAATAATGGTCACGGGACCAACAGTTAGCGTAATGGCTATGTTGCTGGACTCCCACGTAGTCGACCATGGTTCAAGTCCTGGACCTGGTGGCTTAAACTCACGCCAGTTGCATATGCGTGTGTGCCAAAGATCCCGAGAGGAGAATGGAGGAGAAGGGATTGCGGTGTAGTCATCCTCCTGGGGGGAGATTTCTCGCTTTCTGTCTCTCTGTCTCTCTGTCGAGCGCACATGCCCTATAGCAAAAAACAAAACAAAACAAAACACAACAAATAAACCTCTCAAAAAAATTTAAAAAAGAATAATGGTCACCAATTCACTGGAAGAATGAAAACTTATAATCATACAGTCATACATTTTAAACCTGTGAAAAGTGTACATTTGGCTCAAGTCAAACATATAAATATGATATACATATCTTTTTAAAATTTTAAACAAATTTATTTCTTCCATGAGCAAGAGACACACAGAGAGAGAGAAAGAAGAGAGAGAGAGAGAGAACACCCCCAACAGGGTCTTGATGCGATGATCCACCTCAGTTTCACCAGCCTCAGGTCAGGGGCATGTATGTGCTCATCTGGCACACTCAGGGAAGTATCCAGACACGAACATGGAATTTTCTCACATGGGTAAGCCTTGCAGTGCATAGCAAGCCACGTCTGGCCTTTCAATAAATATAGTCTTTTTTGAGCAGAGGATTAGACACTCAGGGGACAACAAGTTGTTAAGTCTTGCTATTAAAATCTTGTAACACAGAAGATGATTTAAGTGTGAGCTAGGTTATGTTGTGAAAGAACTGATCTGCTGGCCTTTTTAAATAAGCTTTGCCAAGTAAAACGGCGGTGGCTGGCCCTGCTTTATCCAAAGCCTATCATCTATGTCTAATGGCTTTCCTCTGCTAGCTGCTGAAGAGAAGCACTTACTACAGTGGGACTAACTTTGAGCTGAAGAGGAGAACCTAGAGAAGTTCAACCTGAAAGAAGTCTCTGGTTTCTAAAATTATCTAATGACCTAATTTCAGTCAAAACTCCATAAATGCTTAGTTTATCCCCAATACTGTGCTGAGCCTGAATCTCAATTGCCTTCAGCTCTCTTTCGTTGGTGCGATGTGTAGAATCACTGAAGTGGACTGTTTGTAAGGTTGGGGAAATATCACTCCATGCCTCTCGGGTGCTAGCAGAGATGCTGGTCTTGTCTCTAAGCTCTCTGAGGACAGCAACTGCATTACAGACTTCTTTTCCTGTCACCCGACAGGGCTCCATAAAACGCCGATCACTCAATAACATTCTATTCTTTTATTAGTCAGCTTCTGCTATGTACCGTCAATGTGACAGCCATTCTGGGATCCTCAATGTAACACTGGTGCATCGTGTTCATATCTGTAAGGAGATTATACCCCAATACTTACTGCATGATCCAAGTTATGTGAAAGAACAACAATCACATGTTGAATCGTACCTGGAATCTCTGACATATTTTATCCCTTATCAATGACATTTGTCAATGACCTTGTAAGTGGCTAAGAAGAAATATTACTTTGCAGATTAAGAAACTGAAACCAGGGGCCAGCAGGTGGCATGGTGGTTAAGGTGCTGAACTCCCACATAGCCATCTATGGTTTGAGTCCTAGACCTGGTAGCTCCGGGAATGTATCTGTCTGTGCATGCCCAAAATCCCAGGAGGAGAATGGAGAAGAAATGTGGTGTAGCCATCCCCCTGGGGGGTCGTTTCTTACTTTCCCTCTCACTGTTTTTCTCTGTCTCTCTCTGGTGAGTCCACATGCCCTATGGCAAAACAAAACAAAACAAACAAACCAAAAAAAAAACAAAACAAAAAACAAAACAACAACAACACAAGCAGCCAAGAAACTAAGACCTGCAAGGTTACATAAGGTCTTAATATCACATTGCTAAAAACAGGCAGAATCACGATTTGTGAACAGGCCCTGACTAGCTTCATTCTCTTTCTAATAAACCATAATACCTTCATTATGTCTAAGAATAAGAAGACTGTATGTGTAGTGGGTATACTGCGTATTTATTTTATCCTAACTGCCCTTCGTGCACCTTAAGGAATTTGATAGAGTCTAATGAACGAAGAGCAGTGCCTGTCCTCTTCCTCCTACCCCAGGCCAGGACCAAGACCTACCATGTGGTTGACACTGGTGAATGGGGTGTTGTCGGTGATGGTTTCAAAGGGAGATCGGGCCCCATTGCCATCAGTGGGGGCAGCCACTTCCCAGCTGAACTGCACAGATGTCTGGTTGATGCCAGCGTCGCTGCAGCGTTCCTTCATGATGGCGAACCGGGGGAAGTGAGGGTCACAGGGGGTGACACAGACCAGTGGATAGCCTGGAGAGGGGGATTTCTTAACTCCTTCCTTGGAAGCTTCTTCCACATGGTCATAGTCAGCAAGTGTGACAACCTGCAACAAAGCGACAGAGCTTCAGCCCAGGTTGAGAGGCAGGAAGATGAGAGAATGAAGGGTCCCTTCCCCACAGACTCACAGAAGCTTTTAAACTAGGGGCTCCTCAAAACATGACAAATGTTTTTACAATGCTTTGACAGGTATCCCTAAAAGATACTCCCAGTTTTGGGAGGTGAAAGATATCCTCCTATTGCCTGAGTTAAAAGCTTTATTATCCTATTAATCGCATTCCTCATCAAAATCCTATTGCTCATATGGAAAATATTTTTACTTTTATGTACATTGGAACCAAAGCTATATCATGAACGGCAGTGTAAAGTTACATAAATTGCAAATGGTATGCTGTAGCACACTTGTCAAAATAAAAGTAAATAAAGGTGGTGTATTTCTTCCATGGTCTATTAAAAGACATATTTTGAAATAATTCTCTTCTTATCTAGACGTGGCTGGAACACTTGCTCTGATTGCTTTACAACTAGGGGTTAAATCTCCCCTGATAAGCTCCAGGCATTTTCCTCCTAATTATTAAGTCAGTGCATTTATTCTATTCATCGCCAATTGGGAAACATGGTATTACATTTCTGTAGACTACTTCATCTGTTGTGGGTGATGAGACTGGAGGATAAAAGATATTACTTTCTTACTCTTGTAGGTCCCATCAAAGGAATGAGAAGATGAACCGAAGATAAATTGCTCCTTCTGTCTTTATCAGACTAAGCTGTTCATGATTTGATCTCACTGCTAGGTCAGAATGGGGTTCTCACCTTTGGCACTGTTGGCATTTGTGCCAAATAATTTTTGTTATTGTTATTGTAGGATATTTAGCAGCATTTCTGGCTTCCAGCCTTGAGAGGCTAGAACCATCCAGTGTGACAGCTGTGACAACCAAAAATATCTCCATTGCCAAGTGTCCTCTGTAGGGGGATTTTAGGGGGCAGGATTGCTCCTGGTTGAGAACCAATATGTTGTAAGATTAAAGAACTAGAGCACTGAAAGCCCAAGTCTCATGAACTATTCACCAGGACAAAAAAGCAGCAATCCTTTGGGTTGAGCAACTCACAATGGGAGGTGCTGGCAGGATGAGGCTCCCGGCTGCCTCCTGGTCTAAAATGGTCACAGTGGCAGTGGTCACATCTCCAAGAACTGCTTCCACTGGGTCATCTGGGCCAAGGACTAGAGAGAAGGATTCATGCCATTCCCGGTCTTCATTGGACAGGATCTCCACTTTAAAAAAGATATGATCCACACCTTTGCAGAGGGCGGAACAGAAAGAAAGCAAAGGCCTCATTAGGGGATGTATTGAGAGAGTGTAGGCTGGCCCTGCTGAGACATCATGTTGAAATATGCCCGTTCTTTTTGGAGGTTTTCTGTAAATGCAGAGGCTGCTAATCACTTTAGCCCCATCTCAAGTGAGGAATCTGTTCTACAGACCAAATTCTACCTGCAGCAGAGGCTCAGTACTTCAGATTTACTATTCGACACCAGATGAGGATTAATGGCCCCAGCCTGACACTGGCTGGCAGTAATAAAAATCTATGATCCACAACACATTTCACCCTGGTTACGAGGTTATTTTTTTATTTTATTTTTTTCTTAATTTTTTTTCTCCTGTACTCTTATGCATGAGCTCCTGTGTGGCTGTGAGAGCTGGCTCATGCAGATACCCTTCCAAGCTGTACCCTGAGGAGCAATACACCTCGAAGACTGTACTAGACCTGTCTTTGCAAAGACTAACAAGGAGGTTGAGTGGCTCAGAAAAGGGAAGGGTTCAAGTCAAGAGACCCCTCCCCTCCTTTTCTGTCAAATGATTCTCAGAAAGTGTAAATATCCCTGGGGGTAGTTAAGGCCCCTTCCTCATCTACAGACATCTGGTCTGGGTTGCTCTTAGACCTATCTTTTCTGCAGATCCTTATGTAGAGAAGGAAAAAACAAGAGACACTTGAAAGATAGGTCCTTGTGCAGATCTGGAAGAAGGTTATCTATCTTTTCAGCAGACATCAACCTGACACACATGGGATGGAGACAAAAGCCCTTTAAAGCTCCAGGGAGGTGAGAGAAACGTACAGACCCCCTCACCCACCAGCTTTCATAATTTCTGAGTAACATTCTCCCTCAACTTGCCAAAACATCTCTGAAAAGTCCTTCTAATGCTGCTGCCCACCAGGAGGGATCAGCAGATGGCATAATGGTTACATCGCTGGACTCCAATGTAGTCGACTGTGGTTCAAGTCCTGGTTCCAGTAGCTTAAAACTCACCCTGGGCACAGGGTGCGTGTATGCCCAACATCACAAGAAGAGAATGGAGGAGAAGGGATTGTGGTGTGGCCATCCCCCTGAGAGGTGATTTCTCTCTTTCTGTCTCTCCGGTGGGTGCATCTGCCCTATAGCAAAACAAAACCAAACAAACTCCACAAAAACAAAACAAACAAACAACTAAAAAAAAGTTCCAAAAACTAAAACAAAAACAACAAAAAATGGCATGAGAATCTGTACCAACCTTTTAATTTTACTCCTTCAGAAAGTTTCAGAAAAAAGCCTGGTCTACAATTCAACCCTTTCCTGTCTCATTCATCCAAGTCACTACAAAAAGTAAAACAGCTAGTTATGACCCAAATTCTATCTTTTTCTCTTTCTGGACTCATCTCCATCTCTCTCTCTCTGGACAAACTTTTTGGGAAAGCTCTTAACAGGGCATCCCATTTCTTAAGTAGAAGTTAAACCACTGAGCACAGCGGTTGTGCCTTCCAGATTTAGTCATCCCTGAAAGACTCAGTACAGTATTTGCACAAATGTTTGCTGAATAACAGCAATAATTTTGTTTTAGATTTAAAACAAAATTAAAACCAAGTACTCTTATTACTCAACCACATCACAGCCTTAAAAATTTTCTTTTAAGTGACCCAAAATGGCCAGCACTTTCTGAAGTAAGTGACCTATTTTTACGACATTTTTACTAATTAAAAATTGTGCCTGGGATGGACCAGCAAGTGGCATAGAGGTTAAGCCAACTGGATCCCATGTGGCTGACTCCACAATTCGAGTCCTGGACCCAAAGGCTTGAGGATTATGCTGGAGTGCATGTTCAAGTGTGCCCAAAATCCTGGGAGGAAAATAGAGATGAAGGGATTATAGCATGGCCCTCCTCCTTGCGGGGGAGATTTCTCACTTTCTCTCTCTCTCTTTCTCTCTGGCAAGCAAACGTGCCCTATAGCAAAAATTAAAAAAATTAAAAAAAGAAAGAAAGAAAGAAAAAAATTGTCCTTGTAATCTCAAATGTGTGCTTAATATACGCTTTATGCTATTGGAATTCTGGTTTCATTTGTCTGTTCACCCCTGTCTTCACATACAAGCTACCTGCCTCTCTACTAAGTAAAACCTACAGATTAGGGTTGGCATTCAATTACCAGGACTAAACTTCAAGACTCGGCTCTTTGGGTAATAATCCACACCAGACTGGGCAGACCCATCCCTCGTGCTGCATCGAATCTTGGAGGTCCTGTTCTGATCCCCTCTGCGGATCACTTTGATGTTCAGGATTGCAATGGCATCTGGCCCTGGGGGTTCCCGGACTTGATATGCAGCTTCTTCAAACTCAATGGTGGGGGCTAAGGAAACATGGTTAGGAAAAGAAGAGCAAGTTGGAATAGCACACAGGATCCAGACTCCCACGAAAGCACTTTATAATGACAAGAGGGAACTGTTCATATAACTGGGTTGTCAGAACAGTCATGTCACAGTCTGTATAGAAAAACAGAAAAATACGTCATGACTTTTCCAATGACCTAATAGTTAACAATCCAAAGGCAAAATGCCTTATAGTCATAAAAATCAATCAGTATTTACCTCTAAGCAATGCTTTGGAAAAAAGAAATTTATTAGTGATCCTGGAGGAGTTATTTCTCACATTTCCTATTAAAAACAATATAATGTAGGAAATATTTCTAGAGACCCTGAAATTCATGATGTCCAGTTTCCATGTGGGCTGTACAGCTCACGGAATGTTTTTAAATTTGCACAATCTGTCAAGGGACTGAGACATAGTAGGCCCTTGATAAATATTATCAACTGACTGCATGAATCAGCTTTTCATATATGAATTTCTAAGGCGTATACTTTATCTCACTTGTATACTACTTAAATTTAACAAATCCATCTTTCCGCTATGCCCTGCTGCTCTCACCTCCTCCTTAGCTTTTTCTTACTCACAAAACTGAGCGTGTTAGTGACTGGCTACAGTGATAATTCAGGAAAATAGTACTTGTTAATACATATGGTGTAGGATACCATCCTTATTGTTAGGAAATGATTAATAATAATAGGTTAATTTTTACCAAAAAATTCAAAGCATGCTTTCTTTTCTATTATCTTCCTATGGAGATGGGCAGGGTGGTAGTAGCTATAGTGGTGGTAATGGGAGACAGAGTGAGATAAAAACACGGGAAAATTGGGATCAGCAAATGGCATAATGGTTACGTCATTGGACTCCCATATACTCGACTGCAGTTTGAATCCCAGACTGGTGGCTTTAAACTCACGCTAGGCACGTGTGCATGCGTGCCCAAAATTCCCAAGAGGAGAATGAAGGAGAAGGGATTGTGGCATAGCTATCCCCCCGAGGGGTGATTCTTGCTTTGTTTCTCTGGCTCGTTCTGTCTCTCTGGGGAGCACATGTGCCCTTATAGCAAAAAAATTTCTTTAAAAAAAGAGAACTTGAGGCCCAGACAAGGAGGCATAGTCGTTAGCATACTGGACTGTAGTGCTAGAAGCTCCACGGCCAACTGTAGGTTTGGATCCCTCTGTTGGCCCAAAACACGGGCATGACCAAGATCCTGACAAGCTGGAGGGCTGGAGGAAAATAATTTCAGGGCAGTAAGACTCATCAAGGACACTCTCTCTCCCTTGCTCTCATGCATGCACACATGCTCTAACATTAAACACAGAAGGGATGAGAAAACTGAAAACAGTTACACGTTTTATACCATCTTTAGTATATGAGAAAATATTGCAGAAATTTCTAACATCTACATTTGTTTTTTCCTCTCAGGAAGTTGAATCTTTCTAATTGTAGAAGATAAGCCTCATTTGACCCTATAGATTTCAGTAAGAATGCTCTTTGCATTAAGTCTTCTATGTTGGGTCCAACAGGTAGCACAGTGGTTAAGGTGATGGGCTCCCACATGACCAACTACAGTTTGAGTCCTGGGCATGGCAGTTTGAAAAACATCCTGGGAGCATGTGTGTGTGTGCCCAAAATCCCAGGAGAAGAATGCAGTAGAAGGGATTGTGGTATGGCCATTCCCCCTGGGAGGTGATTTCTCACCTTCCCTTTTTCTGTCTCTCTTGGAGTGTACCTGTGCACTATGGCAAAAACCTAAAACAAACAAACAAACACTTCTATATTCATCCACACACTATATAATATGTACTTGTCAATTAAAAAAAACACGAAAATGCAAAATAAGTTTTCCTAAAAATAAAACAACACCCTATATGCATTTAAATCTTAAAAAAGGAATGATCCTTCTGACTCCTAGGAGAGTCAAGGGCAAGTATAAATTGTGACCTCTCTGAGTCTCAATTGTTGGGATTTTCTGTGTTGAGGTTCACTTGGGGATTCAACTTGTTTCCTTGGGTAAAAACTACTTCAACTTTTTTTCCTGGATTTTAAAATTTTACCTGATGTCCAAGGTAATCCCTGAGTTTTCATTAACAACCCTAAGAATTCCACTGACTCAGGTCAACAGATGGCATAGTGGTTAAGGCACTGGACATTCTCACATGGCTGAATATGATTTGAGTCCTGGACCTGGTGGCCAGCTTTCTTTCTTTCCTTCTCTCTATGTGTCTGTCTTTCTCTGGTCAAATTTAAATAAATGAATGAATAAATAAAATTAAATAAATAATTCTTAAAATAAAAAGAATTCTACTGACTCTTGTGTACGTTAAGAATATAAATTCTTAGAGTGCTGGTTAAGGGTGCTTGACTCCCACATGGCTGACCATGGTTCAAGTCCCGGACCTGGCGGCTTGCTTTCTCACTTCTCTCTCTCTCTCTCTCTCTCTCTCAATCTTCCTCTTTCTTACTCTGTCTCTCTCTGGTCAAATGAAAATCAATTAAATAATTCTTAAAAAAAGAGTGCAAATTCTAGAATCAGATAAAATAAGGTTCATATCCAGTTTTGCTGCTTATTGCTATGTAAGTAGGAGTGAAAATTACACAACTTTACGAGGTTCAGTTTCTTCATCTGTAATACTGGGATAGCAACACTTACCTCAAGGGATTACGGTCAGGATTAAGTGAAATAAGATAATACAACCTGCTTAGCTTAGTTCTTTTTATGAAGTAAATAGTCAGTAAAACACAGCTATTACTATTTGTAATATTATTATCCATTCACTCATTAAAATATCTATTATACTGAAATAATTATGTCCCAACTTGAAAAAGGTTTTGTTTTCCCTAGTGCCTAGGGTCACTCTTTGCTTAATATCTGACAACAGAATTTAAGTTTTTTTAGGTTAGTAGGCCAAATCAATCAGAACAAAACTGAAAAATTAAGAACTTTCCAGGAAGGTGGCAGTGTTTTAAATTACTACATGGCATTCATCGGAGTCTGACTGTATTTCTAATCTTTCCCTTGAACACCAGTGACTTAAGTGGTTTATATTCTCAGCATATCTGTCTTAACATTTATTTTTTATTTTTTAACATTTTTGCTATAGGGCACAAATGCCCACTGGAGACAGAGGAAATGTGAGGAAGCACCCTCCAAGGGGGATAGTCACCCTATAATGTCTTCTCCATTTTCCTCTAGAGATTTTGGGCACACAAGCACATGTGCCCAATGTATCTTACAAGCTGCTGGGTCAGAGACTTGAACCATGCAGTCATGTGAGATTTAGCTACCTTAACCACCATGCCACCAGCTGGCCCATCTTAGGTTGTAACCATACTTATTCTGTTTCTCTTGGTAATACGATAAGGAATAATGAGATTCAAATACCTATGAACTTGGGACAGCAGATGGCACAATGATCACTTCGCTGGACTCCCACATGGCTGACCATGGTTTGAGTCCCAGATCTGGCGGCTTGAAACTCATGCCTGGTGCATGTGTGTGCATGCCCAAAATCTTGAGAGGAGAATGAAGGAGAAGAGACTATGGCATGGCCGTGCCCCCTGGGGGGTGATTTCTCATTTTTTGTCTCTCTGTCTCTCCAGTAAGTGCACATGCCCTACAGCAATAATCTCTCTAAAAAAACCCACAACTGATGAACATGCTGGAGCTCTGTAGAGAGAAATCATTTGCTGCTAACATTTTATTCAGAGATAATTATCAATAGGCACTTTCTTCTTCAAAACACAAAATAATCACAATATTAGTAAAGCATCAGTTTGTGCCCATCAACCTAAGACTAACTGAAGACAATTTTTTCTGTTACCATCTTCATCGTTGGATATGGTGATGGTGGCCATGTTGTTCTTTCCAACTCTAGCTCCACTCCAGTGGTTTCCACGTGGATGGCCAAGGTAGACTCTGAACTGTTCCTCTGGCTCAAACATAGAGTCATCATGGATATAGACAGTACAGTTCTTCACCTGTAGCCAAGGGCATAAGCTAGGTTAAAATTTGCAGTAAGGTATCAGTAGACCACTTGGGTTTCCTAGAAAATGATTTTCATTCTTAGCCACATTGAAGAATAGATACAAACTCAAACTGCATTTCCAATCTTTCCCTTGAACACCAGTGACTTAAATGGTTTTTATTCTCAGAATTTCTGTCTTAGCATTTATTTTGATTTTTTTAAACATTTTTGCTATAGGGCACAAGTGCTCACTGGAGTCCCAAACCTGGTGGCTTGAAATTCATGCCAAAAGGATCCATGAAGTTTCGCTCACAAAATAGAATGTGTAATAGTTCATGCTTGTGTGGAACTTATCTGTAGGTGGATATCTGTATTAGAACATTCCAAATTGTGTTGAATTATTGGTGATGAGTTATAAAAAACAAGACCAATAAAACAAATAACTTGATAAAATGCATCTGGAGAACATTATTATGCTTTCTTACTTTTTGTCTGAGCTGTTCAACACATTTACACATGTTGAAACAGGTAGATATCTGATGATGAGGATTTATCATATTGATCAGCCCTCATCAGAAAATTGCTGAATACTTCAAGACTGAAAACACTATTCAAATCCCTGTTGGAGGGAAAGAAATCAAGTGCTTCTCAAATGGAATATTCTCTACTGAGGATTGTAGTTTTGGGAAATGTAAAATAAGGTAAAAACATTTGAGATAATATTGTGGCCTCAACAGTAGAGTCAGGTGACATGATGTAGAATATTTTGAATTGCATCACTTTAAATCCCTTGTCCTACTATTTTGCAGGATCTGGGGTACAAAGAAGTTTCACTTTCACACACAAGTCATACTAAGTGAGAGGAAAACATCTCTGTGAACATTTATATACGGCTTGTTAACCTAGTTTTAGGTCCATAAAGAATGTTATCCTTTTATTTTTTCCTTCCTTTTTATCACAATAAAAATTCCTTATGGAAAGCATTAATTATTACCCTTCAGATCTGTTTTTTTTCCAAAAATATGTTTTAGTGAATGACAAGTTCAAAAGACATCTGAGGGGACTTCACAAAGTATGGAAAATGGAATTAAAGTATGAGTTTATTTTGTTGCAAAATTTTGAAATCTATGCATAATTTCTCCATAATACACATTTTCCCCTTGAAGACCATTCATATACTTAGGAAGCTAAAGAAAAATGAAGATTCCAAAATGTGCTAGGAATATAGATATATTGTCATGTGGCTAACATACGTATTATTAGGCTGTATTTTTTTATTGTCTTATTAAAGTTAAAGCTACTTAGACAGAAAATGATCTTTTAAACTTAAAATAAATACAGAAACATACACTCAAAATTGAAGACAGCATTTTTAGTATTTGTATGTGTTTCTAAACGTTTCAACCTGCCATCAGTGCAATTACCATAAAATGTATAACTAAGACAGGTCTTGATGCGTCATGAATGTGGAAAAGTCATGAACATCCCAATAGAAAAGCTTTCACTTTTTCTGTTTGTTTTTGGTAGTAAAACAGAAGAAGAATCTGAAATGATTTACAATAGATAAGTTTTCCTTACATCAAACTTCAAAAGGATTAGTTCTAAGGCAAATATGTAATGCATTTGATAGTCTCAAAATTGAAGACTTTTGTTTAACTAAGAATACCATCATTAAAGGTAAACTGAAGTGCGGAAAGGGACAAGATGTTAAAAATATACCTAATATGTCTAAAAAGACAAGAAATTAATATTTAGGATATACACTAAAGTACTATAAATCAGTAAGAAAAAGATCACAATACAATAAAGAACAAAAGAGAAAAAGAAGCTAATTGGAAAACCATTAAGATAATAAGAATATGCGTAATTAAGCCATGATGCAGTATATTCTGGATGGGAAATCACATTTTGTATGCTGTGACGATGCTTAGGGAATGAATGTAAATTAATTAATTTTAAAAATTTCATAAAAATAAAAAGCACATGGAAATACATGTAATAGGAAAACTATGTATGAATTTTACAAAGTTTTTGTACCAAAATAAATGTAGTTTAATTGTAAAAAAAATTGAAAACATTTAAAAAAGGTAATAAGAATATGAAACAATAGTAGTTAGAAAAATAGAAATTAAAATGAGATGTCACATGGTACCTATTAGACTAGCCAAAATTTAGAAGCTGAGTAATAGTAAAATGTTGAAGAGGAAGATAGGGTTATAGCAATCCTCACGCAATTCTGGTTCTAGTTTCAATGATTCTGCAAAGCATTCTGACACTATGTTCTCGAATTAAGCCTATGTATATACTCTGTGGCCCGGCATTTCTGCACCTGAGTATAAAACCAAAGAAATTCTCCCTCAGGTTCATAAGTGGACACATATGAGGATGTACACTGAAGCAGTTTCTGTGGGACCAAGTACAAGGAGGTCACAAGGGGTTATCACTGAGGTCCCTTATTATCTATTGATGAGAAAACATGAGTAAAATATAGTGGATAACACACCAAGAAATACTATGTAATGGTTAGAAGCAATTGATGAGATATACACATAAACAACATTGATAGCTCCGAAAATATATTGCTGAGTAAAAATAATAAGAGATTTAAAAAGATATAACACAATAGCATTTTTATAAATTAAAAATCACATGTGCAAAACAGGCCATTTAAAAATGTATTTACTTATTTTACTTTTATTTATTGATATTATTATTTTAAAGTTTTTGCTATAGGGCACACATGCTCACTAGAAAGAGACAGAGAGAGAAAGAAAGTAAGAAAGCAAGCTGCCAGGTTCAGGATTCAAACCGTAGTCAGCCATGTGGGAGTCCAGCACCTTTAACTACCATACCACCTGTTGGACCCAGAACAGACCTTTTTAAAGAACAAATACAAATTAAAAGATAAGTATTAAACAGGATAGGTGGAAAAGGGAATGAAGTACGACATGCACTGAGCTTGCAGGTGCAAGCCATGGTTAGCAATGAGTTTCATGGTTGGAATTCCTATGCCCATAGGCATGCCCTTTTCATGTACATTTCCAAGAGACTACTCGAGGGACTTGAGTATGTTCAATATCTGCCTATTTGGTCCTATAGCAGGATGCATGTTGCCTTGGGATGGGGCCTCAGGTATTCGAGAACTGTCTCTTCCTCTATAAGTGTAATAGCGTGTTGTGTTCATCTCTAAGGTAGTTTCAGACTCAGAGGATGCTCATTCATTTGATTCTGCTAAGTTCCCAAAAGTTACACATTGTCTAAACTTCCCAGCTCAACCAACGATACATGCGTTTCATTTTAAGTGGGATATGAAGAACACAGCCACATGGAATATACAACATCGTCACATTTAATTTCAATTAGTAAGGAGATTCTAAGAATGTTCAGAATTTATTCATTATGGGCAAGTAAAGGTAAGAAGGAAGAAGAGATTCCCACATTTCAGGCACCACGAATCTACTTACTTTTTCTCCTTTTAGGAATGTAATCCGTGACTGGTCTGTGTTTTTCCTCTCCTCGAAGTCCTCCATGACCTGAGCCGAGTGGCTCTGAGTGTAGCACCTCACCGATGACTCATAGCTCAGATCTCCACTCCGAATGATAGGGACATGCAGGACACCCTCCTTCTCCCTCACCAGGAGCAAATCCTTGGCAAACTGCATGCTGGGCACTGGGGAGGTGAACAGAAAGACAGAGGCACTGTAAGTGCGAGACTGAGGTGCAGTGGCCACTCGAGTGGCAGGAGAGCTCCACTAAGAGCCATCACAGGCTAACAAGTCCCAGAGGGCAAATGAATTTCAAGGCATGGATATTGTTTTCAGGATAAGAGAACCACTTCTGCTGTGAGTGTGGCTCCAACAAAATTTAATAAATCCATTTCACACCTGTCTTTGCTCCACTTCACAATGTGTCCACCATCTCAAATGTAGGCAGGTAATGCAGGTAAAAAAATGGGACAGAAATGGTATAAGAAAAATTGTGATAGTGACTTGGGTACTTGAAGAGTACACTTTCCTCTTAGCACTGTGTAAGGAAAACAGTGGTGCAAGTCTGAAGATAAATGATCACTCACATGAGTCCCAGAGGAAGGGAGACAATAGAGAAGAATGAAGACATTGGTCAAGAGAAAGAGCAGACCAAAGAAAAACACATCTACAGGCTGAATTTGGCCTGCAGCTCTCGAGCCTGTGACCATGACTACAGAGTTACCTCTTCTTTTATAACCTATGGCTTCATCTCCCTTTGCATTTTAATCATAGTCAAACTATGTTAAAAACAAGGCTTTGGCATAAACAGGCCTGAATTTGTGTCTTAGCCCTTCTTATTATTGCATCATAAGAAAAGTTAGGATGCATTTTTGTATAGAAAAGCTAGAGAAAAATGCACCATGACTTCCAATGACCAACAGTTGTTTGGCAGAGGGTAAGTTACATAGATTTTCTGAAACTTGGTTTTTTAAAAATAAATAAACTAGAAATCTTAATATCTAACTCATAGAATTGATAGGAGTCAATTTAATGAGATAATATATGCATGGTGTTCAACACAGTATCTGGCTCAGAAGAAGCTTGCATTTTGGTAGGAATTAATTCATTATGCTTTGTGTTTCCTTCCTATCTTCAGGCTTCTTGATGTGAAGAATCATTTTTATCTCTTTGCTTACTACAAGACCTACTGTAAACCTCTTCTCTAAGCAATTTTCCCAGGACTGGTATTTTGGTGACTCCTGGTTATTCAGTTATGAATAATGTAAAGGGTCACATGTCAAAGCCTCCCGAGGTAGATTTAGTGCTTGAGGCTGAAGGAGGCCAACCCTAGCATTGTAATCTCTGATTTCTGGCTGCTTCCTGAATGTGCCCTGTCAACCTTATAAGGAAGGGACACCCAAGGATTCTGCAAGTCAGCAGGTAGAAAGCTGTTGGTCTCCAACCTACCTCAGACTATTGGCTTTGGCAAAAGTTAACCCATCCCAGGGGCCAGGTGTTGGTCCAGTGGAAGTACAACTGGACTCACATGGGAAAGGCCCCGGCTTTGTACCCTGGAGCCTCCTTGAACATGTTCAGGGCCAGCTGAGACTGGGGTTGAATCGTGGCATGAAGAACCTGCTGGAGATGCCTGTCTCTCTGATTCTGTGTCTCTCTCATGAAATAAATAAATACATTTTAATAAATAAAACCCAACCTATCATCTAAACAAAGCCTAAACATCACCAATTGCTAAAGGATACCTCTTGAAAGGACATCATACTGAAACGAAAATGAACGACTTTGGCATTAACCTACATGTTAACCAGTCAGGGCTCATCCAGTGAAATGATGTATGCTATTAAAGCCGTGTGGCGGGAACCAGCAGTTAGCGTAATGGCTATGTTGCTGGACTCCCACATAGTCGACTGCGGTTCCCATTCCGGACTCGGTGGTTTAAAACTTACCCCGGGCGCGTGAGCGTGTGTGCCCAAGATCCCGAGAGGAGAATGGAGGAGAAGGGATTGCGGCATGACCATCCCCCCTGGGGGTGATTTCTCACTTTCTGTCTCTAATGTCTCTCTCTGTCTGTCTGGCGAGCGCACGTGCCCTATAGCAAAAATCTCTACAAAAAAAAGCCGTGTGACAATGACCTCACCTATATAGGAGGGTAAGAAGGAAGTTTGCTGGCCCAGCTGCAGTGCTGTGCTGCTAGGGCTCTGTGCTCTGCAGGCTGGGATCACATGGGAAGCCTGTGTTCAATTCTTGTACAATCTAAAGGTCATGCATGGTGGCATGCACCTGTATCCCAGTGACTTAGGAATCTGAGGCAGGAAGATCTCAAGTTGAAGCTGGCCTCAGCAATCTAGAGAGACAGTAGTTAGAAAAGAGCTGGGCGTGGTAGTCTGTGCCTACAGTCCTACCTGGGAAGAGGCTAAGACAGAAAGTCTGTGACACAGTGAGACCCTGTCTTTAAAAAAAAGAAGGAAGCTCATGGGAGGCAAAAACAACTCAAGGAAAGGCGCTTTTCTGCACACAGTAGACATGTAAAGCATAGGTTCCTTTTTCTTGCTGACCTCACAGATCTCAAGTCATGAGCAAGTTAAAAGAGTAAAGACGTAATATTGAGGTTTTTGTTATGCATGAATCAACCCCAAATTCCTCTTGAGCTGTAAATGAAATGATTCCTCTTCTCCTCTTTAACAAGGTATTCACCTTTACTTTTATCCCTATCTGAAAGAGAGAGGAAGAGGGAGAGAGAGAAAGCAAAGGAACAGAAACTTCTCATGACTGCCTGCGCAGAAACAATCCCTGCCTTTAAGAAGGCCTCAGTCTAATAAGGGAGACTGAGGCAAGAGAATGAAAGACAACCAGGCAAAAGCAGGGAGAGATCGATACACGGTGTGCATGGGTCAGGCACCACGTTCAGGGCTTTCATAGATCATTCTCTCAACAACTGTGTAAGTCTGTCATCTGCAGAGGGTTATGGCCCTAGCCCTGGGGGGGTCAGTCCTGCCTGGCTGCAGAACCCCTCTCTTTCCACACTGAAGGATTGGATGAACATGAAATGGAGAATATCCCCTGAAAATTCATGGGCCTGCCCTTGGTAAAATGCACTTATTGTTAGCAGAATATTTATGGTCCATGGCAAATTTATAGTTACCTTTTATCTGTGTAAGTCTTGCATCCTGACATAGGAGGTGGGATTCTGCTCTTCAATACCCTGTAACCTACATGATGTTGAGCTCCAGTCTTAGGTCTAGAGAATATTTTGTAAACACTATAACCCTGCAAATTTTTTTTTTTCCTTTTTGAGAGATTTTTGCTATAGGGTATGTGTGCTCATCAGAGAGACAGAGAGATAAAACATGAGGAATCACACCCACAGGAGTGGATAGCCGGAATCTTTTCTCCTCCATTCTCCTCTCAGGATTTTGGGAACACATGCACATGCGCCTGGTGTGAGTTTAAGCAACTGGGTCTGGGACTTGAACCATGGTCAACTATGTGGGAGTCCAGCAATGTAACCATTATGCCATCTGCTGGTCCCAATCCTGAAAATCGTTTTTTTGTTTGTTTGTTTGTTTTTAATATGATCAGTTATTTAATTAGGTTCTTAGTAAAAAATTTAGAGCACCAATTTGTGAGGATAAACTCCATTTGTAAGGGCAAACACGGATCGCAGGTAGCCCTGGAGCTGAGGAACAGCTTTGATTTTGGTAAAAATCTGTGAGTCCACAGCTTTCTGATGAACCTTGCGCTGCTCGTATTTCTCCTTCTCTATGTCAAAGGTCTCATCTTCCTGGTGTCTGGGTTTCCACAGTTTCTTTTTCTTGAAGTAAGCATCGGTAAGGTGTTTGGAGATTTTTACTTTGCTAATATCAATTTTCATGGAGGTGGCAATGACAAATTTCTGGTGTGTTCTTCACAGTGGAACTCGATTGAGAACCAGTGGTCTGGTCATGAGTAGCAAATCACTGCTCAGCTGCTTCAGGAAAACCACTCTCTTGCCTCTGTGGCATCCAGTGAGGATGATCAGAATGGTCCCAGGAGTGATGCTGGCTTGCAGCTCTCTCACATGCTGACTGAAGGGTTTTTTGCCGTGGCTCAACAGCTTTCAAGGCATATCTTCAGTGGGATAATACCTAGGCATTTTGCACAGTTTAACCACCCGGGTACCACCATTCTTGTCTCCACCAACTGGTTTTGTGACAGTTGTAAGAACCTTCTCCTTCTTTTTCTTTTCGATCCTGGATTTAGTGGCCGAGTATTTCCTCCTGTACGCAGCCTTCCTGGAAGACATGGCAGACGGGGAGTATCTGCTGAAGCCCTGGACTAGGACGGGGTTTCGGCTGCAATGGGGCTTCCCCTTCTTGGGCTTTTTAGCCTTGGGGTCACCCTTTTTAACCTGGCCACTGGCATCAGCCTTCTTGGCTTCGGGTTTCTTCTCCTTAGTATCCCGCTCCACAACTTTTTCACCTGCCATCTTGTATATTGGGAAAGAGAACTCCAACCCTGCACATTTTAATGACTGACAAAGAGAATGTAAGCACCAGTGCCTGGAATGCAATGGGCACTTTACCAGCCATGTTTAGGAAAAAGGTTTAGGAGAAATCCTGTCTCTGGCTTTCCAGTTCATGTGTAGGTATGACACACTTGCACACCCAGGAGAACAGAGCAATTGCAGCTACACTTTCTTGTCTTCCTCAGTCAGCATCACTTATGCCCATACAGAAGTCTAATTCCAGGTATCAAAGCAGAAGAGGTGATGAAATACAGGAAACTATTCTGAGATGAGCTATTTAGATCATTTAAGGTCATAAAATCAGTCTAGTGGAGCTAAAATCACTCCAGAAGGCCAAAAGATGACTTTGTATGGCTCTTGGGTGGTGGCTAGCTAAGCACTTGACACACAGGGCAGTGACCAGTTAATGCTGCAATACAGAGTCAGCAAGACAGGGTATGAAACCAGATGGGACTTGGATGGAATAGGGCTGGGTTCTAACACCGGCTCCCTCATCTCCTCTCCATGTGATCTTACACAAACTATTCTACCCAGTTTCATAAGCTAATAGACCATTGTAAAAGATTACTATTATTATAAATAATATTTGTAAGATCTTTCTACCCTAGAATGTGCACATTCAATAGACTCAACAAGTTGTTACAGGGAAGAAATAAAGACGTAAGCACTGAATACTACAGT